TGCATAGTTTGAGTTACACTATTGATGTAATTTAGTATGAAACTCAAAATTCTTCATTGAACATTTAGAAAATTCATTATAGAATTTACATTCTATAGATGATAATATGTACATGCTTACGTTCAACCTGACAACAAGAGATAACAAACTTCAATAACATTATACAGTTTAGAGCATTATGTAATAATACTTCTTAAACAGTTGTAGGTGAAGATTATTTGATTTATAATACAAGATGATCGAAATTTTTATATGTTCATTTATTCGAGACTCCTGTCGGATCCAAAGTTTTCGAAAACGTCGTATTGTTGAACTTTGTCTTGAAGCTACTTCCATTTCAAGGCTTCACATACTGGTCGCTGGTATGAAGAGTTTCAGAACTTGAGCACTTCATATCTCCAATACACGAACTTTTCAAAATATTCTTGTCTTATTCACTAAGCTTAGAAAAGCATCTTCTTTTGAAAAGTTCATAGATCGAAGACACGAAGTCTACAAACTACGAAACTCTTCGTACAAGCAACGGTATACAAGACCTTGAAATAGTGATCGTATCAAGACGAAATTTAAAAACACAATTTTTCAGAAAAACTAGGCTCCTACAGTGTCTTCTGACAAATAAATGTATTGAAAATTCTATAGCTCAACAAATTTTCAATGACAACTCACACGCTTTTAAGATTTTCACTAGAATACTATACCCAGGTCCAATAAAACGGCGTCGTAAATGGCCTGAAACGGCTATAAAACTGTGATTAACGATGTAAAACGTCGATACATCGGCGCTGTAATCCGTCATACCAGATTACAGAAACAAAATCGGAAAAAATGACGACCGTTTTCTAGTGATAGAAAGGGCTTATAATACGGTATGACGAACTACGGCGAGATAAGGCCAAAATGAATACAGTAATTCGGCGTTTTTCAGCCGTTTCAGGCCAGATGAGACGCCGTTTTCGACGGTCGGAATGATCCTCTTGGGATGTAGCATCCATAAGCAAAAAAAATCATTGAAATCGAAGGAGGTATACGAAGAAGTTGGCTCGCCAACACAAAAGGTTTTTATAGAAATATTGAATAATCATTTCCGCAACGTATAAATAGTTTCTCAAAAGGTCTATTTAACTCAAGAGAGAAATGATTGATTCTGTGGCATAAGAATTACATGAAATCAGTTGTTTTTTTCTTCGATAATTCCTTCAGGATATGTCGAATCACTCATCGTGTTCGTGTGAGTCATCAAGAACATAGTTGTATCTAATAATAATAGTCAACATTTGGGATAGAAGCTTGTCGTTATGTTACCAGTTACTGAGTAACGATAACGAAAAATGTACCAGTTTTTCAAGGAAAAGCTATTTGTCAGAAATAATAATACTTTATAAAGTTTGATCAAAGTTTGTTGACATCAAAGGATCTCTGTTCCTACCTTATTTCTTGAATCAGTCAGATTCCAGCAAGGCTCTCCTCCATTATTGTAAGAAAAAAAAATGATGTCATTCGAACCATATGAAAGAGGATCACATCTAACTGTGTGATCGGTAAGAACAACACTATGTTTTGTTCTTATAATAGTGGAGAAAATCCGCGTTGAAATTTGATTGGCTAGTAGCAAGCTTTCTTAACCAATTAGATTTTAGCAGAATTGTTATGTTATTCACTTAGCATTTAGCCTGGCAATATCTTAGTAAATCAGGTTTCATCATAGTTTCCTCTGAATTAGCAAATAAAGAGTCATGGTGAATCTTGATTGGCTAAGAGAAAGTTCTTACTGGAATCTGATTGACTGAAGAAATAACATGCAACAAGGATTTCTCAACTCAAAAAATTTTCAGTGAAAGATTTCTAAAGCTACTTATTTTTTTATGAAATAAAATTTCCCGTGCGAGATAATCTTAGTAACAAATTTTTGCTTACACGATATCTGATAATGTCACAGTTATTTCTCTCCGCTGTTCTGGTGCCCAGAATCATTTTAGAATCATTGGAATCAATGGAATTACTCAGAATCACCAAAAGCATGAAATCAGCTGTTTTTCCTTAGTTCAACCGCCTTTTTATAAGGTCAATTTCTGATAATATGGTGATCTTACGAATGATATGCCAGCACGTGTTTAACAATAACTTCAAGACAATGAATATCAAATTCTGATAACCATCTGTAAGGAAGATATGAGACGTAATCATGGTAAGATCCTTATACAAACATATAAATGATGTCTACGATCAATAATGATGAAGAGTTGGATTTTTATACTTTGAGATCTTGTTTTATTATCTCTATATCTTAATATCTATGTTAGTATCATTTCAAGCGTTAGCATTTTCTGAATATCTTCAAATCTTCAGCAAAACATTCACATTCATCAACAATGTTGTTTAATGGTTAAAAATATGAAGATAAAATGATTTGCAATCAAAAATAGTATTAAGAAAGATGCTAATGAACGAAAATATGTCAGACGAAAATGTGATCAAAATACAGTGGATTAATTATTGATCTGACTTATGTACCACCTTATTCTACAGAGAATTAATATGCAACTTATAGCTAGTACACATCCAAAGAAACAACAACATCATTTCGTTTATGCCGTCGAATATATACATCATTGCTGATTTATTTATTTGTCTGATCTCCAATATTTATTCGACATATGACCTCAATAAGATGTCACCCTGGATAGTCAACTGACTAGTACAAAATTCAGAAAAAATATGATTGATCGATGAGCTAACTGATTTCATTCGCCACGGTAATTTCAATTTATTAGACATTATTTTCATTTTAAATATAACATTCTCTTATCTAGAGTGGCCAGATGCATAGAGAGTGAAAATAATTAGGCTATCGGTTGAAATGAAATCGAATGGGTATCACTGTAATGATCCGACAATGGGATGACAATGTTAACTCTAAATCAAACACTTTACCGATATTTCTAAGTATTTATGCTTACAAAAATCTGCTTCATTATAGCGACAAAGTTTCCATAATAAATATGTCATTATCTATTTCAGCGAAAAACACCAAGTGTATCATAAGCATCGACCAAGGTATGAGCGAGCTATGCAGCGGACAACAAGCATATTCATCACAAAAGTTATGAAAATATTTTTCAAGTGTTGCATGCAGTTAATGCTTTCTACAGATTGAGACGAAGACGTTCATTTCAAAAACGAAACATGTTATTCATCGTCATCACCTAGAAAAAGTATTCAATATCATATCTGTTACTCGATTAGTGCACTCTTCCTGTATGCATAACTTTATAAACGATGAATTTATTGAATAGCGGCCTTTATCTTCGACATGATTCCAGAACTCACTTGAGTATCATTTGAAAAGCCCGACTGAATGATCCGAAAAGATGCATAAAAACATAGTGCTATATTTACGAATGGTAAGATATTAACGATTCATTGGAGATTGGTCAAGGAGCGTACTTGACGATTATCTCAAGGGGTCCCATTAAATTTTCAATAATCTTATCCATCATGATAAGCCATAAAACATAAATTTTACTAATTATGAAGTTGGTATGTGGATTCCCTCCACTTCTTACTTTCATGAAACTTAGCCTATAAGTATATTCAAGCATTCTATTATACCTATTTAACATGTTTAAAATGTTATTGCTTATTTAGCTCTGAAACGTGCAAGTGGTTTGACATGAAAATATAGTTTGTCAGAAGCGATCTTCTACGACAATCAGATGTGACATATAAAATTAGATTAAGCTTTTCGTAAGTAATAATAAAGTCTATCTTATATGAATATATCATTTTAAAACTGGTAAAGAATGACAAACTCTTTTGATCAATACTATTAGCTTAGCATATTTATAATACACATTTGACAGTTTCAAATCTTTAATTGCTTCTTTTTTTATATTATTATTGGTTTCTTTTATTTAGAGCCTTCTTATTCAAAAATGGAATATTTATCATGGTCTCATGGATTACTTATATTCCAGATGAACACGTATTTAAAATGAGCATTGTCATTCAGAATGAACTAACAAAGAAAAAATTTCACATGTTCTTGTATAAATCATGAAATTTTATATAGATGCACAATTAATCATACTTTATTTGTTTTTGAATGTCATATAAAATGAAGTATATTGATCTATTTTAGATACAAAGATATTGCTAGAAAAAAAACCAGTAACAAACTTCAGTTTTTCAACCACCACAATGGAAAAACACATCGATTAGTCACCGATAAATGTAAATCAAGCTTTTTTAGTGACAAAATCTATCCCTTCTATATGATTTTTATACAAATCTTTCAAAACTGGACTTATCTTACATATTGTGCTTGGAAAAAATTCTTATATTTGTTTTTTTCTTTAGAATCAATGAGAACAAATCTTCGATAGTGTGTCACAAAAGAAAACGAAATTATTATCTCATTGTAAGAATATACTAATTTTTTAAATATTCTTCTCTGACACCATGATGTGGCGTAAAATTATTCTAAAATGTTTTTTCTATTAAAAGAAAATGAAAAAAGCTGATGCTAGAAGGTAATTGTTAATTTGAATAGTGAATTTTTCATCTTGGGGTAACTGTTAGATGGACCTTTTTTTTCCAGTATCTCTCTCTCTCTCTCTTACAGTCAGACGACCAACAAGATTTAACAGTATCATAATGTTCTCTTCTTTCGCGTAAGAGAATTATACACGCTCATATTTAGTAATAGGAAAAAGAAAAGAAAAGGAAGAGAAGAAATATGAAGATAAAAAATGCATGGACACATTTTCATTTGCCCCCATCGACGAGACCAAATTCAACAAGTGAGCAGAAAAGAGTTATTTATCTCATTATTCACTTGTCATCCGATGATATACATCCAGATTATGTTAATTGATTATTTGTATAATTCGATTGATTAATCTACTGAAATATTTTCACTTCAAGAGAAAATTTGTACGTTGAAAGCAACATAAATCACAGTGTAACGAAGACGAAATATTCCAAAATTCGTTATACTAATGGCGGACGACGAATCACCACTTGTTCGAGATATCTTAATTAGTGCAGCCATAATGTATGATATTAATGATGATAGTCTACCTCATACTGACTTCATTGATACTGACAGTAAGTTTTTTTAGAAGTATATAAACTAATATACATATATGTATCATATAGTGCAAACTGATGATGAAGCTGTTGTTTCTCCATTTGATTTATTCTCGTTGAATTTTAAAGAAGATGAACTAATAGCAGAGACAATATCAGCCGATCAACTTTTATCAAATTCTAGCTTTGATCTTCCACAAAGTAGGTTAAATTCATCATTGTAGTGCAAAAAACTTGGTCACATTCTTGTGTAAATTCTTTTAGTTTCTTCAATTCAATCATCTTCTTCATCAATCTTTACTAACTGGCCACATCATATTATTTCAAGCTGCTCTGTAAACTTATTACGATTATCATTTTTATATTTCATATTTTAACTATTCTATTTAGTTTCCAATTGATTTTAATCATCATTCTTCCTTTTCATTATCGTTTAGCAATCCTCCTGAACCCATCTATCATGTACGATATTTAAGTGAAATTACAAATTCACCACTCGATGGTAATATAGTTAATACGAAGAAAAAAACAAAAAAGAATGTTTCTGGACGATATCTGAAAGGAACACATGGTCGACATGTTACAATCGATGTAAGTCATAAAGAGAAATGATCGTATATATATTTATTACTAAACTCTGTCACGTCAATACATATCGATAGCTAAATAGCCAATAAAACAAATTATATTTGTCACGAAAAGAAAAGTGTGAACGTTATAGAACGGCTAAAAAAAAATATTTGAAATATTCTTAAGTTTGATTGAGTGCATACTAGCAATGTGATATGAATGATTATAGTGATCACAATGAAATATGTTCTATTTCATTGAAGTTTATTTTAAGATATGTTCAATGCATGGAAAAGAAAAATATTATCCAATAAATATTATCAAAAAATCATCGAGGAATAATATATTATACTATGATCAGTATATAGTTATGTATGATTCATTTACAGATGACATAAATAAGAAAAAAAAAAAAGAATGAAAATCGATCGAATTAATATTTTGTCAACAGATATGTTGACTTTTCTCTGATTTATACTATCCTATATATATATATATATATATGTTTAGTTATTAGGGGAAATGATCCGATAATTATCTCCCATTTGAAATAAACAAATCATCTATCAGAAACAGCTGCTAAGTTTCCTGTTTTCTTCAAGAAAAATTTAATCGATGATATTGTACAGCTTGTACATACAAAATAGAGAAGTCAGTATTTCTATAGATCAGCGACACTATAACACCCACGTCTTCTTTGATGTATCCTGACAATTAGATTAATTAATGTAAGGATGTCATTCGATTAGAAGAAGAATTTGGAAAGTCTTCGTTTTTTTTAATATTCAACAAAAGCTTGAGTGATAGAAATTTGACACAAAAAAATTGAATTTTCACCAAAACAACCATCATTTAACTTCAGTATGATTAACTATTTATATTTTGTCTTTAGTTTCCAATTAATTTGCCTGATTATTTTGATTTTTTCATACGTGTTACTCGTCTAACCGTTCCTTATCAAAATATTTCATTCATTCATCCATATCCTCTTCTTTATTCACCTCCAAAGAAAAAAACACATTCTGACGTTATCATCAAAGCACCATCAATTTATTATAAACTAAACAAAGGAGAACTTTGTTCTCATTCAAAACGGTATGTGTTCATTGAGTATTTTTATTTTTTGTTCACATCAATTTCAATATTTCCCATTACTTTTCTTTAAGATTCCCCAATATCATTCTTACTCGTCTCAAACAATGTCATCTTAAACATATTAATACTTTACATTTATTTGGTAAGATTTATTCTATTTTAAGATTGATTGATTTGTTTTTTTCTTTAGATAACAGTGACATCACATATCCATTCATTGGCAATAATGCCAAAAGCAAGATTGCTACTTATCAATTAAAAAAGTCTCAACTTGATTTTCGTCTTGTTATTAGATGTAATCAAACAGGTGAATTCATAGATCTTAATATTTCATGTCGATCAAATCCATTACTTGAAGGTAAAATTTTATAATGTTTTATAATATCTAATCATTGTTTTACAGAAGAAGGAACTGAGTGTAAAAAATTATCGTTATCACCATCTTTATAATTTTAAAATTCAATTCGTTTAAGATTAATCAAAGTAAAATATCACTGTGTATATTAATTCTATGATTTCTAACAGCTTCATAATTCGTTTACTTTTGTTTTCTTTTTTTCTACAAGTTCCTCATATGTATATTTGTGTGTCTGTGTTTTTTTTTTGTTTACTATTTTTTCTCATTTGAACAATAAAAAATATTTAGTCCTAGTTTTCTTGTTGGACTTTTCCAGCAACGTATATAACTAGTTTTTTCATAGTAAAAATAAATAAACTAGCAAAAAAAAGAGATGCTTAATAATCAAGCAGAAAAAGAAATTATGACTTTTTAGAAAATAATAAACATTGAGTGGGATTATGCTTGATAAACTTAGGCAGTCGAGCAAGTTTACTTGAATGATATTTATCTAATTGAAACTATATGATAGATTAGTAGCGGAATCAGAGTTAGGCTCAATCCATCATGAGCTGAAATACTATCTTTGATACTATAATTAATTCAGATAATTTTTTCACAAATAAACAAATTAACGGAAAGTATTATCCATACATATGTGAATTTCAATTATTTAAAATGTAGTGCATGTATTTGTTGAATATGTTTTCCCAGTTAGTGTAATTGAAACAGTAGAAAAATAAAAACAAAATTTTCTTAAACAGAAGTTTCTAGATAAATATAAATTTGAGTTACATGAATTTATTCAATGGAATAGTTATCTAAATGTTCATTGAACTGTATTATATTATATTCTTTAATGAGCTATGACACTAACGAGAGTACGTTTTTTCAAAAGATCAATCGCTTTTGAATTCAGACCCAGTGAATAAGGTAGAGTTCAATAAGATATGAAAAACCTCACAAGAATAAGTGTTCTTAAGCTTTTTGTTTAGCGTTAAAGATATTTTACTAGAATTTTAGCTTCGAGAATGTCCTGAAAATTTCAGCTCAAAATAATATTTTCTTGAAATATTAAAGTTCTAAAACAACAGAAAGTTCTAATATCTTTTGAGAAATATGAGTAATTTTTGGAACTTTAATATCTCCCAAAGGAAATATTTCTTTGAGCTGAAATTTTTAGGGCATTCTACGTACAAAGAGATTTGTCTGTGGACAAAATTTCAGTAAAATGTCTATCACTCTGGACAGAAGAACTAACGGGATTTATCCTTTTTGAGGTTTTTTCTATCTTACTGGACTCTACCTTATGCATTCAGTCCGAATTCAAAAACGATTGATTAGTTGAAAGCGTTCTCTCTCGTTATTTTTTTTTTTGAATCATCTTTTTTTATTAAGCAATGTTGAAGTGAAAAACAGCGACATCTTTTATATATTAACAATAATTTTTAATATCAGATAATTTTTAATTATCAAGTGATATTTTAAATGAAGTATCTAAAAATGAACTTGAGAAATATTTTTATGATCAAATATTAACTTGTATCCTTCTCTCTAAAACTCTCTTAGGACTCACAAGAGAGCCCAATGGCACTTGCTTTTTGTTGTTTATTCTCTATAGAATAGAAAAAATTTGCTATGCAAAATACCATCGATTTATATAGATTAATAGAAATAAATTTTCATTATTTTAGATGCTTTAGCCACCAATAACTGTAAAAATAATAAAATATTATTTAATAATTATTTTCACAACGCGTGCATCTCATTCTTTTTAAATAATGTCTCAACGTGCTCGTGTTGCTGCTGCTCGTGCAGCTAAAACATCTGCTGCTTCCTCATTTTCTCAATCAAATAATAAATCAAAATCAAAGAAAAAACTTGTTCCAGTACGAAAAATTACTCGTAGTAGTGCTAATACTGGTGCTGTACAAAAGAAAACACCAGTAAAAACAAGTAAAAAATCTTCACCAACAAAACGTCGTCTTCAACAGCGTTCGTCAACAAGTACACGTTCATCAACACGTCTACCTATCACCACCGCTACTACCACCACCACAACAACAACAACACCAAGAAAAAAACGTCTTTCTGGTTTAACAGCTGCAACTCTTCTTCAATATTGTACAAATGTTCTTTCGCCACCATCAAATGAAAAACAACAACAACAAACTGGAAAACGACAATTACGTTCAGCAAATAGTAGTCCTATGTCACGTAATAATCAAAATACAACTAATCGAAAAAAGAAAAAAGTTAGTAAAACTAAAATTTTTTTTTTCTATTTGTCTTATTTTTCAAATTTTAGACAAAACCAACAATTACAAAGAAAAAATTAAAAACTAATACACGTACTACAACACGTGCAAGAAAAACAATAATAACTTATGATGAAACTAGTGACCATACGGAAAAACAACAAGTAGATGATCATGATGATGATGATGATAATAATGAAAATTCAGATGATAATCCTCATAATAATAATAATCAACAGTCAAGTGAAGATGAAACTAGTGATGATGAAAATATTCGACCATCACGTCGTCGTACTAATATTAAAACTAAACCAATTATTAATCGACGAAAACGTCAAATATCAAATATTTCATCAACAGTTGACATTAAACCAATTCAACCAGAATTAAATATTCATACACGTACACGTCGTGAAGCAAGTTCACGTGCATCAGCAATGATTATGCAACAAAATGAAATTGAACGTAGTCGATTTCATTATACTCTAGCTAATGAACGTTCAACATCTACTAATCGACGACGTCGTACTAAAAGTACTATTACAACTAAAGATGATTCTCATATTGATGTTATACCTGATCCACCTGAACAACCATCAGTTGAACCATTTAAATTTAATGTTCCACCAGTACCACCACCACCATTACCAACAACAACAACAACAACAAATAGAAAAGTAACACCACCACCATCATTAGTTAGTGTACCTGCACCAGCATCATCTATAGCTAATGTATCAAATAAAACAGAATATGCTCAATCATTAAATGCTATGACAACAAAATCAACAAATCAATTACCATTAACAACAATAACAACAACAAATTCAAAATATCCATCATTAACAGAAACAATTTTAGCTGAACATGATCGTATACATGGTACAACACCACCATATCATACAACAAAACGTGATAATCTTATTAAATGGGTACAAGAATTAGCATTATATGATCGTTTATCACCTCCATTTCCTGAACAAGAAATTCCTCTAGAATCATTTCATGGTGCTGCATCATCAATATCATCAGCAACAACAGCAACAAATGATCATATACAATCAAATCGTGGATTAATTATTAGTCAAAATAATAGCAATAGCAATCAAAGTACAAGTGCAGCAACAAATAATGGTGGTTCAATTATTGGTGGTGCTGGTTCAACATCAACAACAGTTGCTGGTACAAGTACAGCTACAACGGGTGGTACAACAAGCCATAATACACATAGTAAATCAACAGTTAAAGCAACACTATTACAACCACCACCACCACCGCCGCCGCCACCACCACCACCTGTTCTTAAACAACCAACAAATACAAGTACAACTAGCACAACTGTATTTCAAAAAACTCGACCATCAACAAAAGGATCAAATACAGTTACAAGTATAATTTTGATTTCAATTTATTGAGAGTGATTAGAAAGTTTTTTGACTTGCTAGAAGGTATTTCCGACGAGTCAAAAGCTATGAGTTAGGATAGTCTTTTTGAATTTTGAGAGGAGTGGAATAATCTTTGAAAAGTTCAAAAAATTTGTTTGGACGGAAAATTTTTGTATTTTCACTGTTCGGATTCAAAACTAAAAGTTGGGATCTTAATTTCATATTTATCAAATTATAGATCAGAAGCCATCCTACAAAATGCACTATTTGAAGCGTCTTTTTTTTTTTATCTTTCGACAACACATTTCAATTTTCCTTTTTTCTAAATACTCATTTTTGAATGAAAAATTGACAGCCGTTGTACATTGAAATGAGCTCTTGAAAAAATGCTTGTAGCTTCACTTGGGTAAAAATTACAGCTTAGTTCAATACCGACTTCGATAATTGTTAGCATATTCGAAAAGGGAATGATAGGATAAACAAAAATTTGTTGACTCATCATTTCTAGGTCTTTCAAAAAGTCTCTCACTAATCTTGAACAAAAATAGTTTGCTTCAAACATGTCACAAAAATTGAGTTCCCTTGAAAATTTAATAACTTAACAAAGGAACATTCTTTTCGAGTGAAACTTTCAGAATATACTAAGAGTAAGTAGGCCTAACTATTGGTAAAACTTTGGATCAGAACTCCGTCATTTTGTCTTTCGGGTAGTCCCTAAAAACAGGTCAAAAATAAAGTAAAACACTTGTAACTCGGTGCCAAAGGTCAATAAGGACGAATCTTTTTAGACTTTTACTATTCTCACTGACATCTATCTGTAAGTCCAAGATGGGCTCAAACGGTAGGTGTCAGTTAGACCTATGACAGTTCCCGATTAAAGAACTGAAGTGGTGTCAATCATGCAGTTCTTAGAACTATAGGTTGTCACAGGTCTAGTATCAATTGGAATGGTTCCTTTATAAGCCTATATTCAAATTCTGGTCGTCATCTATAGTTTTTAACTTTTCTGAAATGCTTGCAAGTAGGTCAAAATGAACAAACATGTTCACCGGAAATAGCAGCGTCACAAGTTCCGTCTAAAGAAATTTTTTTGGGATATTTTGAAGATTATTTCACTACTCTCGAACAAAATTTGTCAGCCCATAAGTGAAAAGAGTATCCGAACTCATAGTTTTTGACTCGTCGAAAATACATAAAAAATAAACAAATATCTTGTCTAAAAACTTTTCGATCATCCATTATTATAATATTAATTCATTTTATTTATTTTTAAGCTGCATCAATTACTGTACCAGATCATTCAGTTTCATCAACTCCTTTAATAAATTCTTTTGCAACTATAACTCCTACTATTCTTGGTACTACAACAGTTAATACACCATCATCATCATCATTATCATCACGACCACTTTCTTCTTCACTTGAACATCATCATCAACATTCATCAACAGCATCAACACAAATACCAAC